TTTGCGCATGCTCAAACCCCCCCCCCCTTACTTAAACTTTAAAGGTAAGCACTTACCTTTAAAGTTTAAAGCCCAACCTGGCCTCGCTTAAGTCCCGGACTCCTCTGGGACGGTAAAGTAAGGGCTTTTTAAAATTATTTTAACAAACACTCAGGGCGAAGCTTCGCCTGAGCGCATATCGCCTAGTTTTTTAAAAAAGATGGCGGGGGAAAGCCGGAAGCCTCAGGCTTCCGACGGAAGTGGCTGCGCAACGGAGGAGAGTGATCAGACGCCGGGGTGCACCGTTTTCAACCGTCGCACTCTGTTTACCACCACTTCGGACCTAGTGGCAGAGTTCAACGGTTTAAAAGGATTTACAACGGTTAGGGACGGGAGGCAGATGTTCGCTGTCTGAACGCCCGTAAGTACACCGGTTGGAACCGGCACCCTAATCGTTGTAAAGCCCCCGTCTGAACGCACCCAGTGTGTGGGGGGGGGGCTTCCGGAGTTCTGGTCCTGTTGGTGGACCTCCTAATGGAACCTGGGTTTTGGCCACTGTGTGACACAGAGTGCTGGGCTGGGCTGGCCATTGGTCAGATCCAACATGGCCTCTCTTGTGTTCTTAACTCTCTCAGCCCCACCTACCTCACAAGGTGCCTGTTGTGGGGAGAGGAAGGGAAGGCGATTGTAAACCGCCTTGAGACTCCTTAAGCCAGAGAAAAGAGGAGTATAAAAAAACCCTTCTCCAGGCAACACACTGGGAATCCCTAGGGTTTATAGATCAGCAGGCCTTGTGTATATTCATTTCTGTTCACATACACACATCGCTTACACATTACCTCATGGCATGCTTTGCGGAGGCTTCAGGGTTGACTGATTGGGGTTCCGTTTCTGAAGCGTGCCACTAAGACACCTTTGTGCCTCTTCTTCCCCTCAGCCCTCTATACGAACGATATTGCCGGGACCACTTCTCTGACGGACACTGCGATGGAGGCTGCGACACGGCCCTCTGCGGCTGGGATGGGGGAGACTGCTGGTCCGCCTCCACGGAGGGTCCAGTTTTGGGCCTGGTTGTCCTGCTACCCCAAGAGGGACTGCGCCAGTTCCTGCGTTCCCTGGCTGTCGCTTTGCGTGGGGCGCTACAGCTTCAACGGGACCTTCAGGGCAGAGAGAGAATTTACCCCTACACGGGAAAAGAAGAGCTTGGAAGCAGCAGTAATTGGATGGGGACTGAGGAGAAAGCTGCTGTGGAGACCATTGGGTAAGAGAGAGACCCTTGCTCTGTATGGACCACTCAGTTTGTCTGCCCTGCATAATCATTGCCAGATAGGGTTGCCAAGTGGATCTTCGCCAGGAGCAAGGGGCTCCCGGCCGGCGTCTGGTGCACGCGCGTCGCACGCACATCACCCGGAAGTGACGGGAGGACACCAGGCACGCTGGGGGCAGGGCCACAGCCATACAAGGGAAAACCTTAGAGTTTTCCCTTGGATGGCATACAAGGGAAAAGCATAAATTGTCCTGATGCACTTCAGCGCAAGCATTCAGAAACTCTTCACCTCCCCACACACACTTTTTTAGTTCAAGCACTCTACCAGATGTGAAGCCATAACCTTCTCTTAAGGGTTCTTCATAGCACTGCTGCCTTTTTAAAGGGCTGGTATTATGTGATTTGAACAGCTTCACTATATGTAGAAAATTCGACAGGTGACTCAGGGAGAGCCTGCATGATATAGTGGTTAGAGTGCTGGACTAGGATTTGTGAGGCCCAGGTGCGAATCCCTGTTCTGCCGGAGGTGGCAGGAAAAACATGGACAGCTGCTGCCCACGAGAAGAAGACAATATTGACTTTGCTAGAACAGTGTTCAGACTCCATATAAGCCAGCTACATGGTTCATTTATTTATTTATTTTATTCAATTTATATCCCGCCCTACCCCGCAAGAGGGCTCTGGGTGGCTTACAACATTGATAAGGCGATAAATAACAATTTGACAATAAAGAACAATTCATAAAAGCGTCAACAATTCCAGTTAAAAAATTTCTGATAGCAACACAACACTAGCTATTGTGCCTGGCACAATAGTGTCTGGGGGGGGGCACTCTCTTAAGAAACCAAAGTCAGCCGACGCTGATGCCAAGTTGGTATCGGCAGTGCCCTCAGGCAGGTCAGGCAAATTGAACAGATTGAGCAAGCTGCACCGGGAAGGCTGGTGTCGCTTGGGCATCCACTGCCTCAGCCAAAGACCTGGCAGAACAGCTCCATTTTGCAGGCCCCGCGGAACTGTAATAAATCCCACAGGGCCCCTAATCCAGGCCTTTTGGCAACCCTAATATCAGCATAGGTCTGATCCCTTCTCAGAGTTCTGGATATAGAGGGGCAATTGCTGCATTTTCCCCAAGTCGCGACGTTTGTTTAATATTTAGATCAGGGTGGTCTGGTTCCTGCTATGGGCCTGTGTGCCTTTCATAGGGTTGCCACCTGAAGGTGGCACCTGGAGATATCCTACTATTACAGCTGGTCTCCAGATGACCAAGATCAGTTCTGCTGAAGAAAATGGCCGCTTTGGAGGGTGGACTCTATGGCACTGTACCCTGCTGAGGTCCCTCCCCTCCCCAAACCCCGCCCTCCCCAGGCTCCACCCACCCCAGTCTCCAGGTATTTCCCAACCCAGAGCTGGTAACCCTACATCAGCACAAGAGGCAGGTATGCGACTAATAAAACTCCCCCCAGATTCTCCTTGTTGGGAAAGGCTTCTCGAATCTGCCTGTTAGGGATGGTTATTGATTGGGAAATTTTGGGAATTCATCATCATTATCTATAATGAGAAGTATTAGAGCCTGCTTTTAGAAGCTAGAAAGTAGAACACACTCAGAATGAACTCTGTTATATAAAATAAGTTCATTTGTAGAAAATAATCTCACACAGTAGAATGCAAGATGCACAGCAGAAGGCAGA